TTCGTTTTTTATTCCCAAACTGTTGCGTTCAGGTTTTAATAATTTTGGAATGATCAATCAACAACAGTTTTTAACCTAACATTATTATTCGTTCTGTATCCAACAACGCTCCAATCAACTTTTTTCTTACATTACCAATATTTTAAACTACAGTTGGCACTAATAATCACTTGCATAATAGGTATAAACGCAAGATCTGTTCATTAAAACATATCTTAATTAAAGGAACCCCAATAAACATTTTTTCCTAACAATGAATAGACAGGTTAATCCTATGTTTAGAAATTAGTATTTGCCTTGCTCATGAAAAATCATGCCATTTAATTTTACTGACGTTTTTATTCCCTATGGGGGCCACCTCTTGCATGCAGGGCTTGGAGAAGCGTCACGTTGTGGAAGCTTGCAGCTGAGTGTTCAGTTTAGCCTAAGGAGTACTCTCTATATCACCAAATGAATGTCCCATGTTAGGAATCATCCCATACTTACCATCATTCCATCCAGTGAAAAAAAAAACAACAAATTGATATTGTATGTCGGCCTAGGATGGATTAAGAGTGCATTCCGGAGTGTGTCTGCTAACGTCTTAGCCCAAAATTTTGCTGCAGCTTTTATCACAAAGATTGCCCGAACAATCTTCCTCACTGATGGCTAGATACAAGCCGAATCTAACCGACGGCTTGAGTTTTATTCCAAAACGAGAATCTCTCTCCAGCGAGCCACCGTCCCACTGACAAGCCCAAGCCTCCCGACTGTCTCCCCCGCGTGTGGTATGTAGGCAATGTATAGTGTAAGTGAAGAGTAGGATAAGACAAGGAAGGAAGACCAGATCGCGCCTCTCTCCTTGTTACGTACTCTCCAGGACTTACCTGGGTTGGTCGGAGGATAGCAGAAAAAACTTACCGATCGAGCATCTAGCCGCAGATTCTTCTCCATACAAACGTTTGAACGCGAACTAAGCCTGGCAGCTAGTGTTAAATCACCTCGGACTCAAATCCTATGAACTCCGTTCAGAATTACTGTCCTGATGCCACCTAACTGTGCCTTAGCCTAGAAGACACTCGCCAACTCATCACCCTACAAATATACAAAAATATCTCCTTGGTACCACAAGCTAAAGGTCAGCAACTGGATTTCGAATTTGCCTTAAGGGACAGAGCTCAAAAGCACCCAGCACTCCCCGTCGCCCGTCCCCCGTCGCCGTCCCTCGCCGTCCCCGTCGCTCGCCGTCCCCGCCCCGTCCCCGTCCGTCGCCGTCCCCTCGCCGTCCCCGTCCCTCCCCGTCGCCGTCGCCCCCCGCCCCTCGCCGTCCAACCCGTCGCCGTCCCCGTCGCCGTCCCCGTGGCCGTCCCCGTCGCCGTCCCCGTCGCCGTCCCCGTCGCCTACCCGTCGCCGTCCCCGTCCCGTCCCCGCGCCTCCCCGTCGCCGTCCCCGTCGCCCGTCCCGTCCCTTCCCCCGCGCCGTCCCCGTCGCCCTCCCCGTCGCCGTCCCCGGTCGCCGCCCCGTCCCTCCCCGTCGCGTCCCGTCGCCGTTCCCGTCGCCTCCCCTCGCCGTCCCCGTCGCCGTCCCCCGTCCCGTCCCCGTCGCCGTCCTCCCGTCGCCCCCGTCCCTTCCTTCCCCGTCGCCGTCCCCCTCGCCGATCCCCGTCGCCGCCCGTCGCCTCCCTCGCCGCCCGTCGCCGTCCCGTCGCCTCCCGTCGCCGTCCGTCCCGTCCCGTCGCCGTCCGTCGCCGTCCCGTCGCCGTCCCGTCGCCGTCCCGTCGCCGTCCCTCCCTTCCCGTCCGCCGCCCCTCGCCGTCCCGTCGCCGTCCCGTCCCGTCCCGTTCGCCGTCCTCCCGTCCCGTCGCCGTCCCGTCCGTCCCGTCGCGTCCCGTCGCCGTCCCGCTCCGTCCCGTCGGCCGTCGCCGCCGCCCGTCCCCGTCGCCGTCCCGTCGCCGTTCCCCGTCGCCGTCCCGTCGCCGTCCCGTCGCCGTCCCCGTCGCCGTCCCCTCGGCCGTCCCCGTCGCCGTCCCCGTGCCGTCCCGTCCGCCGTCCCGTCGCCTCCCCGTCGCCTCCCCGTCCCGTCCCCGTCCGCCTCCCGTCCCCTCCCCGTCGCCGTCCCCGTCGCCGTCCCCGTCGCCGTCCCCGTCGCCGTCCCGTCGCCTCCCCTCGCCTCCCCCGTCGCCGTCCCCGTCGCCGCCCCGTCGCCTTCCCGTTGCCGTCCCCGTCGCCGTCCCCGTCGCCGTCCCCGTCGCCGTCCCCGTCGCCGTCCCCGTCGCCGTCCCGTCGCCGTCCCCGTCGCTCCCCGTCGCCTGTCCCCTCGCCGTCCCCTCGCCGGCCCCGTCGCCGTCCCCGTCCCGTCCGTCCCGTCCCGCGCAGTCCCCCGGCCCTCCCGTCGCCTGCCCGCGTCGCGCCGATCCCTCGCGTCCGCCTGTTCGTCCTGTAGCCCGTCCCCCGTCGCCCGTCCCGTCCGCCCGTCCCGTCGCCTCCCGTTGCGCGTCCCGCTCAGCCGTCCCGTCGCAGTCCGTCGCAGTCCGTCGCGTCCCGTCGCGTCGCTCGCCTTCCCCGTCGCCGCTCGCCTTCGCCGTCGCCGTCGCCGTACCGTCCCGCCCGTCCGTCCCCGTCGCCGTCCCCGTCGCCGTCCGTCGCCCGTCGGCCACCGTCCGCCCCTTTGCCGTCGCGTCCTCGGCGCCGCCTACGGTCTCGTCGCCGTCCCGCTTTCGTCGCGTCGCCGTTCCTCGTCGGCCGTCGCCGTCCTCGTCGCCGTCGCCGTCCGTCCGTCGCCGTCGCCCTGCTCTCGTCGCCGTCGCCGTCCTCGTCGCCGCCGTCCCCGTTGCCGTTGCCGTCGCCGTCCTCGTCGCCGTCGCCGTCACCGCCATCGGCGCGGC